GAGGGCGGACCTCCAGGCTAGAGGCAAGGCCTCCCTGAGTTTGAGCGCCTTCTCCCCCACATTCTTAACATATTTAAGGCGCCTTTGGAGCTGCTCCGTTGTTGCCAAATCTGCTGCTACCGGGTCCCACAGGTCCCCCACCGTAAATATCCCTCTTCTTGCCCATATTAGCCTGGGGGAGTTTGTGGTAAGGGTGAAGGGGCTACCTACCTCATCCAGGATGTAGGGGTTGCCAAACAATGGCTGCCTCCAGATTTCTTGCCAGGTGTTGGGGGGGCGTTTCTGTTGCGGACCACATGTCCTCCAAAGTTTGAGCATATTGGCCGAGAGAGGATCGTTAACCAGATCCAGTCTGGCTGCTTGTCGCAGGTCATTGGGTTGTCTGTTTTGTTAGGGAGAGGGGATCGTCCAGTATCTGTTGGTGAGCCACCGGTAGGGGTGTATGTTGCAGCCCGCAGCCGGTTCGGGGGCCAGTGCAGCTATCTGCAAGGCAGCGAGAGGCGCCCACGGGGTATCATTTCCCATGAGAAGTCTAATTAGGACCTTGAAAACTAATGCCTCACACTCCCTCTCTGGGTCCAGTATCCCTAATCCCCCTTTGGTTCTTGGCTGTGTGAGGACATCCCATCTTACCCTGGACAGACATCTTTCAGATTTGGCGCTGTTCGTCCAAAGATACGTTGTGAGCGTTGTTTTTAGTCTTGCATATTGAGGAGGTTTTAGCGGCCAGACTGCAAGTTTATACCAAATGGCCGCCAGAACAGCGTTATTGATTGCCAAGGCCCTTCCTACAAGCGAGGTATGCAGTCCCTCCCATTTCAGTAGCCGATCAATTGCCACATTCACCAACACCTCTCCGTGATCGGGCGGGGGTCCAAGCGCAGTCAGCCTCACCCCTAAGATTCTAATAGGTTCATCTGCACGTGCCCATGCAACAGTCGGCTGGGGCGGTGGTGGTTGGCCTTGAGGGTGGAGCCACCAACCTTTTGTCTTAGAACCCCAATTAACCTTCATATCGGCCGCCAGTGAGCCAGAGCTCGTATGCTGTCATCGTCCGCCCTGATAAGAACTGTGAGATCGTCAGCAAACAGCGAGGTCACCGGGATGAGATGGTGAGGAATGTCTGGAATAGGTATTTTGCTGATCTTGGGGTGGGATCTGATCAAGGCGGCTAAGGCCTCCATAACGATGACGAAGAGCAATGGGGCGATGGGGTCGCCCTGTCGCACTGACCTTTGCAGGTGTATTGGCGGTGAGAGGTGCCCATTGAGAATAATGTTAGTGGTGGTTGTTCTATGAAGGAGTTGTATCGAGTGGCAAAAGGTCGGGCCAAGATTCATTTTTAGCAGACATCTATCTAGAAATTCCCAATCAACATGATCATACGCTTTTTCAAAGTCTATAAACATGATGGCTGCTGGAACTTTCCTCTGACGTGCATACTTTATGGTCTCATTTACTAACAGGATATTGTCTTGGATGTTGCGGTTAGGCATGAATCCTGTTTGGTCCGGGTGTATGAGCACATTCATATGTGGCAGCAAGTGTTTCGTCAGAGCCTTCGCCACCATTTTGTAGGGCACAGGGAGGAGCGTGATAGGCCTGTAATTTCGGATGTCCTCCCTATCTCCTTTTTTATAGAGGAGCGTGGTGACCCCTTGGCTGATCATGCCTCCAAAGGACCCCTCCCTCTGGACTGCCCGTGTGTATTCGAGGAGGTCACCTCCAATCATTTCCCAAAACTGCACCAAGAATTCCTTAGGGAAGGAGTCTATACCTGGGGTCTTTTCATCCTCCATGTCCTGTAGTGCCTCCAGGAGTTCTTGTTGAGTGAGAGGCTTGTCTATTTCCTCTTTCTGTTGTTGTGTGAGGCGAGAGCACAGAGCATTGAGGATCTTCCCTAGCGTTATTGACTTCAACCGGGTTCTTCATGGACATTTGGGAGGTAAACAAGTTCCTATAGTACTGGGATGCATAATCTGCAATAGAGTACGCATTGGTGGCAGTTGGGGCCTTGCTGTCCAAGGGATGTCTGAGCATGGGTACCGTGTTGGCCCTTGCACTAGCACGTGCCTTTTTGAAAAAGGTTTTTGCCATCGTCCCCTTCGTATGTGCACGTTTAATCTTGGCTTGGATTCTCCATGCCTCGGCTTGATGATGCAAGTATTCTTGGAGGTGATCTCGGGCGTGTTGCAGTTGTTCAAACGTGGGGCCGTGCAGCGGATCAAGCATGAGTTGTTCATCCCAGTCTTCCAAGTCTTGCATCAATTTGTCGAGGATGGCCTTGCGGTCTCTGGCACGTTGTATGGAAAATTTCTTGGTTCTCTCTCTAAGTTGTGCAATGCCCTCATTAAACCAGCACACTCTATCCCCCGATTCCGGTTTTTGGGTCTGCCAGTAGGCCCAAAATGTTGTGACGAGGTCTTTGAACTTTGTCAGGGGGAGCAAGGAGGTATTAAACTTGAAATATCCTGGCCCCCTTTGTATGTGGGTATGAAAGGAGAGGCCTAGTGTGATCATCCTGTGATCAAATGATTTGCATGGGCTGATGGTCGCTATTTCTGCTGTTGTGACCAGGCCCAGCAAGTCTTAAGACACAAGTGTGAGATCAATACGTGAATTTGCTAGGCCTCGCTCGCCTCTGGATGATAGACACGTGTAGGCGCGCTGGGAGGAATGTAGCAGTCTGTATGCATCCTCTAATTCCCTGTCTGCCATAAGTTGTTTCAGCCCCAGGATATCCGGCCCATGGGACTGGGGATCGTACTGTTGTGAGGAGGACCTGCGGTCTATCATGGGATCCAACGTGGTATTAAAGTCTCCTGCGAAGATGATTAGCGCATCCTGTGGTATCCGCTGTTGAAGCGTAAGCCAAAACTCCACCCTGCTAGTGGGATCGTTAGGAGCATAGATACTCACCAGATAGAACTCCTCCTCAAACTCAACCTTAAGGCATACCCACCTGCCGTTTTGATTGTCGTGTTCAACCGCCTTGGGTTTGAGCTTCGAGGCGGGTGGTATCCAGATTGCAACACCTGCTGAGGCTCGGTCCTTGGCCGGGGCCGCATAGCACGCGTATGGCCAGATTGATTTGGCCTTTGCAATATGTGCCGGAGAGTCCTGCAGATGGGTTTCTTGAACACACACAGCATCTGGCCATTTTCCGGTTATCGGGCATTTTAATAGATTCCATATCGCATCTTTCTTGTCTTTTGTTGCTTGAATCAACCCGTTAACATTCAACGACCGGATGTCAAGGTCTGCTTGGGCAAGCTTAGTGGCCCATTGGGGCGGTTTCTTGACCCGAGGGAATACGGGAGGGGAAGGGGCCGTGGAGGTGGAGGTGGAGGAGGAGGAGGTGGAGGGGGGGGGGGTCCGTGGGGCTGGGCAGATTGGGGTGGTGGGTCAGGAGTCGGCCCGTTTGTTCCACTGTAAGCTGTCTTCATCAGCAGTTTTGGTTAAAACCGTTGATATATGAGGTGCTCAAGCTTTGCTATCGATGGGGAGCAGGCTCTGCGGGTCCTCCCACTGATTGTGTTCTTCCAACATGTTATCCTCCAGGAAGGCCTGCATGAAGAGGAGCACCCTAGACCTGGTCCATGCATAATTCGTCTGAAACCGTGTTGTGCTCATTTCCATAAGCTGGCGGTGATTGAACCATTTGAAGTCCGTTATCTTTTTAAGGGTTCAGACACACGGGTTCAACAGCAGGAGAACAGGGATAATGCCAGCCGGGAAGGACGTCTGTTCTGGCAGAACAGCGCCCATGACTTCTGTTACATTGTTCTCCCTTATCCAAAACCTGAGCCTTTTGATTATAACTGTGTCGGAGGATTTGCCTCTCCATCCTTCCACAGTGACGCTGTTAAGGGGTGAGGTGGCCTTAGAATGTGAAGATGATTGTGTGCTGTTCCCTGGGGTTTTAAGGCCAAGTAGCCATTCCCCTCCATTTACATTATCCCTTATGAGCGGGAATAGGGCCACTCCGGGAGGCATGGCCATTGGGGGACTGTCGTCCTCCTGTAGTCTCACCAGTTCACGCATCTTCCTTGGGAGGGCCTCCATGGGCATGTCCTCCCCCGGGTCGGGGATTGTTGCGTCCTCTTCATCCAGGCCGATGACCTTCGCATGAGTATTCTGTCCGGAGGATTTCTGCACTGCGGTCAATTTGTGTGTTAGCACGAGTTGTTGAGCTGCCTGTTTTTGCAGCAGCCCATCTGTCGCCTGGCTGGCCTGTGGGATCCCTCCTGATTGTTGCTCCTGCCCTTGTGCTTGGTCGTGGACCTGGATCTGAATCTGAAGCTTCTGAGGATCAGGCCGAAGGATGGGATGCTGATGACTCGTGATTTGTATTTCTGGCTTTACTCCCATGAGCCTGGGGTCGCCATCAGGAAGTGCGTGGAGTGTGGTACACAGTTCCTGAACCACGAGTTTTGGCCAAGCTAGACCCTCATGCAAGAAGGCCTCATCTGTGGGGTCAGCACGGTCGAGGGAATTTCCGCCGTCAGTCTGGCGCTCGCCGAAGTTAGTATTAGCGTAATTGACCATTTTATCGAGGAAGTCGTTGACGACCAGGACAATGGCCGCCCCCACATCTTGCCAATCAATGGCTGAGATATTATTATATTTTTCTACCGTGGCAAGAACCCGGGGGCTGTACATCAGCACCCTTTTGGCCTCCCCCCAATAACGGTTGTCAAGCTTCTCCCCTGGTTTGTCATCTGTGAGGGAGAAGATTTTCGTTAGTGTCCAATCCGTGAGGAATGCCAGTTTCTGTTGAACCTCATCATCGGCCGTGAGCAGAGGGGGGGAGGCATCTGTTAGTGGGGGAACCCGTGGTGGGAGGATTTCCACATCCATGTCCACCGGCGGAGGGCAGTGTTGGTCCACCGGCGGGGAGCAGTGTTGGCTTATCTGCTGAGACTCGAGAGGTGGAGCCGAGGTGTCCATGTCTTGCGGTCCTTCGTACCAACCTGGGAGAGCAATAGAGGGGTGATCAGGTTGAAATTGCATATGTTGTTGGATCGCTTTCTGTTTGTCCACCTCTTGTTGCCAGAAGATGTGCAGCTGGTGCTGTTGTTGTTGTAACACCTGTTGCTGGTCACAACACAGCTGTTGATGCCATTGCTGTTGCAGGTGATCTAAAAGCTGTTGTTGCTGCATCATTCTGTCTTGGTGCTGCTGGTGCTGGTATTGCGCCAGCTGTGCTTGTAGCAGCAGGCGAAGTTGGGCTTCACATTCTGTCCTTTGTAGGATGTGTAGTTGATGCTGCTGTTGCTGGACCTGTATCTGCGTTTGTTGTTGCAGGAGTTGCAGGTGCAACTGTTGTTGCTGCAGGATCTCCTGATGTTGGCTTTGGTGCCATTGTGCATGATGCAGCAGCAGTTCCTCCCGAGGCTGTTGCTGTTGTTGCTGGAGACGCGCTTGCTGCTGTGCGTACTGCGGGAGCTCTTGTGCAGCTTGGACCTGGGGGTGGTGCTCCTGTCTGGGCCTACAGTGGCTATTGAGAAGGCACGCCGACGTGCTCAAGTCCTGTTGTTGGAATTGTTGCTGGGATGGGTATTGCTCTTGCTCGCTTTGCATGAGGTCCAGCTGTTGGTATTGGTCTTGGCTGTTGACCATTGACCCTCCGCCCAGCAGAGCAGAAGCTTGTTGTTCTTCTGTCTGGGGACGGTGGTCAAGGTCCTGTTGTTGATTGGAGGGGCTGCTGCTGCGGCCCCCTGTATGGAACCAACCGACCTGTCTGTTCGTCTGTGGTGTGCAGCGTGTGAACCGTCTGGCCTGGTGCCGGGTGGCGGATCTCCTGGTGCTGCGGTTGCTGTTGTGGGTGTAGTTGCACCCCTTTCTGCTCAACTTCGATTTGCAGCTTGTGAATCGTCATATACGCCTGGTGTTGCTGTTGTGAGTGTAGTTGCACCCCTTTCTGCTCATCTTGGATTTGCAGCGTGTGAATCGTCAGATCCGCCTGCCCCTACTCCGAGCGGTGGCTGTCGTGGTGCTGGTGCTGCGATTGTTTTTGCAATTGTTGTTGCGAATGTACTTGCACCGGTTTCAGTTGCGGTTGTGCCTGAGTCTGCGGTTGCTGCATGTGTCCCTGCAGGTGTTGTTGTTGGGGTTGTTCCTGCTTCTCTGTTGGGTGCTCCCCTTCGTCCTCCCATTCGATCAGCCGTTTACTATGTCCACCTGGTCTCGGGGAGGTCATTGGGGAGGGTATGAGCAGGAATTTGCGTTCCCCTGTGAGCTCCGACACAACTTGTCTGAGCCGTGTGTTTCCTTCAGGTAACGGTTGGTTCTGTTCCTGCGTCTGTCTTTCTCCTGGGGATTGAGACAGGTGCAGGATTGGGTGCTGCCGCCGGTTTTGATCAGGTAAGTCATCCTGTGAGGTCGACCCGTCTAAAGAGGAAGATCGATATAATTGCAGCTGCAGGGCCTCCGGCTGTCGTTGCTGGTCTGGGTCGGGCTTTGCCTGGTGCTCACCCAGTTGTTCCTTCGGGCCAGCGGGTTGCAAGTCAACTGCCTGCAGGGCCTCCGGCTGTTGTTCCTGGTCTGGGTCGGGCTTTGCCTGGTGCTTACCCAGTTGTTCCTTCGGGCCAGTGGGTTGCAAGTCAACTGCCTGTCTTCCTGGGGGGCCATCTTTTGGGGGGACCTCTATTTCTGTCACTATTTCTTTCACCAACGCCTGCAGGGAGGTGGGGAGTGGCCCGGGGGGTGGGTGTTGTGGAGGGTGTTGGAGGTGGGGAGGAAGCTTTCCCCGTGGCAACTCCCAGTGTTGGGAGAATGCTACATCCTTTATTTTGGTTAGAATAGTGTTGGCTCTTTGCCACATCTGTTGCAGTTTGAGCGCTTTGGCGGTCCCATCGTCTGTTCTCTTCTGGGTGCAGCGTGTGGCTGTCTGTGTCTCAATTGTGAGACCGGTTTGTGCCGGCCTACTTGGCTGGCCCCCCCCAGCAGGGCCCAACTTCGCCCTTCCGCCATCTGTCGATGGAGATCTGCCAGCAAGGACCCGCTCCTCCGTTTTTTCTTTCATTTTTCCTTCATCCTCCCCCTTCTTTTGTCCTATTAGTACGATATCCGGCAGTGGTGTCTTCTTATCACGGGTCTGTACATCTAGTCTTGCCTCGGTTGCCCTCTATGGTCCCACTGAACCAGCTTTGTCTTCGGCCTCCGGTAGCCGTGTGAGGTCTGGTTGTGCTATAGGGGGTCGACTGTGTATATTGGCATTTGTGGACTCAGTCTTCTGATCCTGTGTGGTTGTCACTGTGGCCTTTGCCCTTGTGTTTGTGGGTGGAAGAGCTGGACGCTCTGTCAGTGGTTGTAGCATTGAAGCGCTATGTTGGGCAATAGGCAGGATCAGTTGTCCCTCCCCTATTTGCAATTGAGGGTGGGTCTGTTGAAGTTCTGCATTGCGTGTAGGGGGGTGTGCCCCTTGTTCCCCCTGGTCCATGGATGGACACGATTGTGCAGGTGTGGACGGTCCTGGGTGACCGAGTTGTTCTGCCACACCATGGGCTGCCTCTTGTTGTGCTGGTTGTGGTAGTGGTGGTGGTAGTACCAAATGTGCAGGCGGGAGGGGGGCCGAGAGGTTCCCTGGCTGTTTAGGCTTATATATTTTTTGCACCTGTTGAGTCTGAGTGCGAATTTGTACAGAACGGGTGCTTGTTCCTGCTGTATGCGGAGCTTGTGGCAGATTTTGCTGTCTCTGACTATTGCCCCCGATAACACCTTGCTGGCCGTCCGCGAATTTGGTGGGCTTGTGTTTATCCCTGTCTGTTAGTCTAGCGGACCGCCCTCGCCCGCCGGTCTGTTTTGGGGGTTCCGGAGTGGAGCCCGGTTTTCCTTTCTGTTTGGGGTCATCATTGACGAACACTTCCGCCCCAAACGGGAAGGCTGCTGGTTGACCCTTCCCCTGCCAGATCCATATTCCTGGACGACCATCTGCGTATGCCCTGAAGGTCCAGCCCTGGAGTTCCTTCTCTTCTGGGAACCACCTTTCTTCGTCAGAGGGGTGGGGGGTCACCAGACCTTTTATTTTTGTCTTATGATTGTGGGGGCAGTCTGCATCTGTGCACAAATGGCCCCTGTGCTTGCACGCATAGCACCAGTGGTCTTGGGTGTGGCTTACATGTACAGAGAACTCCTTGCCCCCATGGGAATATCTCCATTCCTCGTTCAGGGGGAAGGGGTAAGATTCATCCCAGTCCACCGCCACCAGCAAAGAGTCATCTCGTTTTCCAAGGAACTGGGGTAAATCAGTTATGTACCCCTTGACATGGGCAATGTCTTCGAGATCTGTGAGAATCGAACCCTGTACACAGAGAGGAGCATACCTGAATTCAACCCAGAAGTTAGAATTCATTAGGTGTTCTCTCCGTTCATCACTGGATCGTGGATTGGCTGGTGACCAGGTAACCACCTGCACTGGCTTGCCTCTAAATTGTAGCACCTTATTCCTGAGGATGAGATGCTTATCAGTGGAATACAGAGCCACCACCGTTATGCAATCCGGGCTGTCCACTTCGATGAGGAAGTGGTCATATACCAGTTGGCGTTCTGGTTTGAAGTTGGCCAACTTGTCGGTAATCCATTTGATTTTTTCATTTATAGGGACCGCTGTTTGTGTTTGCTGAAAACGAAAATGGACTGCTTTGTTGGCGTACAGCGCATCCCTCGTGGCTTTGGCAAGGGCCGGGAAGATGGAGTGAGGGTAGATGAAACCATCCTTAACCTGAAACTTCTTTTCTGGCTCAACGTAAAGTTGTTGTATAAAGTGGTTTTTCAATGGAGCCATGGTGTTCAGAGAGGATGATTTGTGAGCATCCGTCTGAGCAAGTGCCGAGAGCGCTCTCAATAATTGGGGAGGGGTTTTACGCTTGGTCCCCAAAGCAGAGGGCCCTTCTCCTTGGGTCTTTGTTTGGTCTCTATGAGGGTCATTTACATTGCGACCCGGATCCTGTGCACCTTTGACTATGTCTTTCCATGTCTCCTTCGTGCCTCCTGTGTGTGCCCCTGCGGTTTGCATGTTTTGTTTGTTGTGTCCTTCGGCAGGGTCTTTGCAGATTGAAGTTGCCTTGTTCACACCAGGGTCCCGATTGCTGCTCTCACCCCTATGTTCTTCATGCCCAGCCGTCTTTCCGTTTGTGCGGGGGGTCGGTTGAAGTTGGTTAGGCGGGGCCATTCTTGCCCCTCCCAATCAGGGCCTGTGCAGGTCAGCACCCTGCAGCTCTCACTTCCCCCTAACAGTGTTAGGGTTCAGCGGGTAATTGTGAGGGAGGCGGGACAGGTGAGAGGGGAAGACCGTGATAGTCAGGTGTGCGAGTCAGACAAAACAAGGTCATTAGAAGAGATTCCCATTAGTGGTCGGGTGACAGGGTTCCGGGACACGTGGTTGAAGGGAGGGTTTGGTTCAGCCGGGTGGTGGGGAAAAGGGGACCGAGATGAGAGGGGGGCAGGAGAGAGAAAGTTCACCCTCGTCACTCGCACTTTCTCCCGTCTTCTGCTCCCATCGTTGTTCGCCTGTCGGGATCGCCGTCCCGTTTCTCCCCCTTCTACCACAGCTTCGAAGATCACTTTATTGATGTCTTTGTATTCACACCGCCCTAGCGCCAATCGTCACCCTTCCATTCGGAGATTACTTTGTTGATTCCTTTGTATTCACACCGACCTAGCGCCAATCGTCACCCTTCCACTCTCCACCGCCGTTTTTTCCACGTTCCTTTCGTTACAGCTCCGTTTTGCTGTCCTCTTGGTTATGCTCCTCCTTCCCAGTACACTTCCCGTTCGTCTCCTCGAACTCGCCGCCAACGACGTAGTCGGGAGTTACCTCACACCCGCTGCCGCTCGTGATCGCAGAAGTCCTTCTCCACTTTGTCTCCTCGAAGTCTTTGTCAATGGCTTAGTCAGCAGTTTCGTCATGTTCTCTTCGCCCTGAGTCACCTCACTCTCGCTGTGTTTCATGATCGCAGAGGTCCTTCTCCACATCGTCTTCTCGACGTCTTTATCAATGGCGTAGCTCCGAGGACACCGGGAAGTCGATGCTCAGAATCCCCAGCGCATAGCCGCCATCACGTCGTTTCGTCGAAGTCTCCGTCTACATCGTCGTCGGCACTTTTCCCGTGCTCCCTCGTCGCATACACTCCTGAACGCTGGCGTCAGTGCAGGTCTCCCCACTCCGGCGCTGAAACGGCCGGGGAGTCGATGCTCAAGGTCCCCAGCGATGGTCAACCCTGGTAGCTGCCATCTCCTAGGGCTCGTGTGATTCCTGGCGGACGGGCCCTGCCGACCACGGGTCACAACGCGCTAGCGTCTCTCTTGCATACGCCAGAGGTGAAGTCCTTCCATTCTGCGCTTATGAACCTAGTGTCCCGGTCCCTCACAAGAGTTTTTGGGGGCCCACACTGCAGAATGCATCTTTTGTGAAACTCTTTGATAACAAGGTCAGTTGGGGCGTGAGGTGGTAGTGGAATCAGATTCAAAAACTTCGAAAAACGATTGACAATCACCATAACTTGGGAATAACCGTTTCTACTCTTCTTCCCCATGTCCGTGAAGTCAATAGAAACCATAGCTACGATCCGGACCACCGGACAGGGATCCGGACCGTTCGTGGTCCGGGGTCCGGGGTCCAGGTCCAGATCTTGGTCCGGATGTGAGGGTCCCAGCCCAATGGCCAAAAAAAAATTGGGTGGTCCAGGGTGTTTGTTCACGCCCTGGGCCACCCCAAAAAAATAGTGCCTTATTTTTTACCACCCTCACCAACGATCCAGACGGCCCGGAAAGTCTACGAGGGGGTTTGTACATCTGAGTATTAATGTCCTCATTGTGACCAGCCTCTTTTCCGAAGGATCCCTCCAGCGTATTAGCTGGGACCCTACGTCATGCAGAGGTACAACTCAAACGTGTACTTTGTGAGCGTGGGCAGAGAATATATAGTCTATATTCAAATTCAGGTCTGTGCATCTCGGTTATGGGTCACTATTCCTGTGTTTTCTCGTTTTGCTTTCCTTTTCTCGTTTTTCTTTTCTTCTCTCGTTTTTCTTTTCTTTTCTCGTTTTTCTTTTCTTTTCTCGTTTTTCTTTTCTTTTCTCGTTTTTCTTTTCTTAGGAATACGTGCAGTGGCCCTAAGGGCCTCTACTCACCAAATGCACAAAAGACAAAACATATGGTGGCGTATTATTCCACGTTCTGCAGAAGATTCATTCAAATTTTGCACATTTTGTG